CCACTGATCATGCCATAAACCATACTCACTTGTTCTCACTTTTCACTTTCAGATACTCACCATTACAACAATCATGTTGGGCTCACGACCTTGCGCTACCCAAGTTTGTATTCTCATCTTTTTCTCAAAATTCATTTCTTATTAACACAAAACTATTTTTACACATCACTACATTCATTTCTCAAAAATATAGGCATATTCATAATACAATCCTTTTAACTTTGCACTTGCATTTTTCAAGCCCAAAAATAGCTTTTTCATGCACTCAAAGAAGCTAATATATAGTTCTTACTTAAACAACCAATCCCATGCATGTAAGCATTTACAATTTCACATTCACAACCAACTAACATATAACTACTCAAAGTAGATTTTTCTCTTGGTTACCTCAAACCTTTGAGAGGTCAAAAGTTTACCCCTCAATTAATTAGCCTTCAAGCTTACATTTGCACTCCAATAGGTGACCAAGAGCCAAAGCTACAATCAGTCAATTTGAATTCCATCAACATAACAAACAATTGAACCCTCCATCTTTATTCCTAAACTATCCAACATTTATTTTATAAGAGGTGGAGCCTAACCATTGAGTTTAATAATTACCTTTAGCTCCCAATAGCATTAATAAGCCATTAAATCCCCATTAATGGCATCACAAACTTCCAACCACCCATAATAAACGGGATTTTCGGGTATTTATGGTGCCCAACAACCCAAAACATCAAAACTCATCATATCAAGGTTTGAATACTCTAATCTATCCTTATTAACTCCATTTGAGTCAACAAATTTGGACCCACAATCTATATGGATCGAATTTTCACTTCCACTATCAAACCCTAACCATAAACTCATAAATGTGGAAGAAAAGGGGAGATTAATGGGTATGATACTTACCTTGGGTGTTTGTAGCCTTCAAAATACTCTCAAAGTGATCCCTAAGCAAACCCTAGTAGAGCATTAGCACGCCTCTCTTTTCTCTCTTTTCTCTCTTTTCTCTTCTTTCTTTTTCTATCTCAATTCGCGTATGATAAAGTGCAGAAAATGACCATGAGCCGCGACGCACGCACAACGCGCCGCGGCACATGGCATAAAGAGGTCCTCCCTCGCTCAGAAATGGCTGTGCACCGTGACGGACGATCTATACGCCGTGACGTGTGGCACAGCAACTTCAACTCTTCTTTTTCTCCTCCTTTCGATGCCCGAGTGGCCTACCTCAATGCCGGACCCACAACTAGGGTTGAAAAAGTATCAAACATGATTATTAGACCTCTTTGGCCACACACCACTTCAATTTACTTAATTACCCTAATTAGGTTTAATTAATCAAGGAATTAAAACTCGGGATGTTACACTGAAGACCCTTCCAACAACAAGGTCATTGGAGCCCTGATTGCTGATGACACTTGTATTCACATATAATTTGTAAAGGTGGTTGGAGCATTTGAAATTAATAAAAATTTATTTGAACTTTAATAAGTTAGAAAATCGGATAAGATGAGCATAATTGTACATGTTAATCCTTCATTAACAAGTATCCATTTGTGATTTAACGATTCAAAATTAATAATAATTTATTCAAGTTTTAACAAGTCAAAAAAATGGGATATCATGGACATAATTATGCGTGTTAATCATTTATCAACAATTACCCACACTAGTTGTTACATAAAAAAAGTATCCATTCGATTTTTAACAACAACTCATTTAAAATTAATAACAATCCATTTAAATTTTAACAAGTTAGAAAAATAGATAAGATAAACTTAATTATTCAAGTGTTAATCCTTCATCAATAAACATTCATTTGAGTTTTAACAATAATGTATTCACAATTAACAACTATTCATTTGAGCTTTGGAAAAATAAATAAGATGAGATTAATTGTACAACTGTTAGTCCTTTATCAACAAATATTCATTTAAATTTTGACAATAACATATTCATGATTCATAAAAATATACTCAAATTTTTAATAAGCATAATGCATGAAGTTTTAAAACTCTCAATTTATAACTAACTATGTTAGATTAATAAATAACATTACTAAAATAACAAATGCTATTTAGGAATTAATAACACTCTGTTATATTATAATATAGAAGTGGTTTAAAAGCTTAGGTTACATATATTTTTTTGCCATATATAATTAAATGGGTTTGGTGACTTAGTAGCCATCAAGGTTTTTAGATAGCCACCCTTGGCGACCTTTACAAAATATCTATTCATAAAAGTGTCATTGGCATTAGCACTGGACAAATAAGTTATGGGCCAGCTCGCAGGCTAGCCCGCATGAGTTGACATTTTTACGGGTTGGGTTGGGCTAGCTCGCTAGATAAAACAAGCTGAAAAACCCAACCCAACTTATTTTCTAGCAGGCTAGCCAACCCGCAGGCTGGCCCGTAAAAAATTATCAGAATTTTTTTAATAATTTAAAATTTATATAATATAAATAAATATATTTATTTTATATTTTAAAGCAAATTAGCAATTAAAGAACTTGTAAATAAATAAAAAAATATAAAATTTAACCAAGCAAATTCATTTTGCTAGATTTTTACCATCAATCATCTTCTCATCTAGGTATGCTGTCTTTGCTACTGAGAAAGAAAATTTGAACATAAACTCATATTATTTTTCTTAGTGAATTCATATTTATGATTTCAATCAATAGATCTTATGAGATTAACAAATAATATATATTCAAAATATTTCTATAAAAACTAATAAATCATTTTCACAAACTATAACAAAAATTTTATTTGCAAATTATAAAAAAGATTTACATTATATTTCAAATGTAAAGAACATATTTGAGAATCATAAATTATATATTTAAAAAATATTGTCATTATTGTAGATTTATAAAAAGATAAAATATGATTTAAAAATAATTTTTTTAAAAAATATGCTAACCCACGGGCCAGCCAATTTTAGCCCGCTAGTTTTATGGGTTGGACTAGTCCAACTCTTTTTAAAAAACGGGTCAATTTTTTCAATCCAATCTGTAAAATTTTGCGAATTAAACGGGTTAGCCACGTGCTCAACCCATTTCTCCAATTCTAATTGATATCGAAGCTTTAGTGACCAATTGCTAGTGGGGTCTTCGGCACTCATTGACATTGATGACAATGAAGAATGATTGTACATCATAGGATTGAATTGATCTCTACCATCAATTAAAGATGTGAGAAAACTCTATAATAAGGAGGAATTTTTTAAATATCCCTTCACCTCTCAGTTGTAATTATCAAACAAACCAAGCAAAGTTATAAAGCTCTTAAGTTCTCTCATTTAAGTTCTCTACTCTCTCTTGTGTGGTAAACTCTTTAGTCTCTTTGTCTATATTTTGAGGTTTTAGCTGACTTAGCCAATTTGTCTGAGATAAGGGCTTTGATGACCTTACCGACAGCGGTGATCGTAGGATGGCTTTTTTTAATTATTTTAAAATTTAAGGGCTATTTTGTCATTTTATGTAAAAAAATTAATTTTAGCTGAGAACCAAAAGCCTGCAGTTCAAAATTTTACTATTCTTGATTGATATAAACTTTCCACGGGCATCCTTGAGTAATGTTTTTCGTTTTTTTAATAAATAAACCAATCTTCTAATAACTGTTTTCAAAACACGTGAAAAATATGCATGCACTTCATAAATAAGAATGGAGGTGGATATTGTAAACTAGTTATGTTCTGGTTCTTCGACTTAATTATAATTTTGACGGTCTGATAATAAAATTAGCCCACAGATGTCATTGTTTTCCCATCAAGGTCATTATACTTAAGTTAGCTTCATGCATTAATTTCCCTTGTTCTTCCTAGGGATGTTCACGAGACGAGACAGGATTGGAACACCCCAGTTTCGTGTCTCATCTCGAAAAAAAGATTTAGACTGAATTTTTGTCCCGTATTTCATCCCATCTTGTTAGGAATCGGGATGAGACCGAGATGAGATCGGGGCGTCCCACCATCCTGATAAGTCAAATAATGTCAGAGAAAGATTTAGATAATAATATTCATTAAAATTTTAAATCATATAATTTATTAAATTTAAAATTAAAACAACACAAATACATAAATCACAAAAATTTAAAGTCAATTATTGAATTACATTAATTACATAAGTACACATTATGATAGCAATTATAAGTGATTTCGAGGCCATAAGAGCAGCAACAACAGGTAAGCCAATTGCAACATCAAATCATTATTTTTTTTACTTCAATTGAAGTGTACAAAGTTAATTACTCTTTTAAAAATAAAACAAGAAATATGATTTAAATAAAAGTTATTAAATAGATAGATATAAGAATAAATTATATTAATATAATTAGTATATTATAAAAAAATATCACCCTATTTACTTTATATCATTAAAATTATTGATATAAAAAACTTTTAGTTTTGAATAAGAATTGCACGTATTGAAATTATAATTAATATAAATATAAATTATATTAATATAAATAATATATTTAATCTATATTTTTAAAATAAAAAATAATATAATAATAATATTCGGGGATGGAATAGGACATTTCAATGATAATCTTGTGTCCCGTTCTATCTTGAATTCCTTTCTCATCTCGCAAAATCCCATTCTAATTATTTTCATGTCAGGACAAGATCCATCTCTCAATATGATTGGAATAAAATTGAATCAATTATGATGAATACAAATTGAACACCAATAATTCTTGCATCGAGACATATCTTGTCTATTGAAAAGTAGCTTTTCAATGACGAAATTACATTTCCACCATACTCAAATGAGTCTCGAGACGAGTTCGATCAATTTTACAATAAGTGAAATCGTTTTTTTTTTTTAAATATATGTTCATGCTGCTCCATATTACTAATAAAACTAGAATTCTTTACAGCACCATTTTTCCAAAAGATAATTGAAGCTTTTCATGTTTCAGGGGAAAATAACTTCGTCCACTAAAAATTAAAAAATTCACAATTAACATTCTTTCCATCCAGAACTTGATGGTGACACCAATCAATTGGCAATTTTTATCTAATTTAGTAACTCTTTCTAATCAAAACATACAAAGCTGTTGCAAGGGAAAGCAAGAGTACCAAATGCACAAAATTAAATCGCAGAACATCTGGTTTAAGCCACAAAAGCCCAAATGGCATATCAGCACTCTACTAGATGAGAACTCGTGATACAAGAGCATCTTCCCTGTCAGTATGGCGATTTTAAGCAGGAAAAAAGCATAGAGATGAACATCAGCATATGAGAAATTCCACTGCTACTGTGAGGCCGAGGTTGACGTTCCTGCTTCTGCCGGTGCCAGTGCAGCCGGTGCAGACCCTGAGGGAGCAGATGATCCTGGCTGCATAGCTTGCTGATACGGCTGATTTACCGCTGGTGGTGGCTGAGATGTAGCCATCCCAGGGTTGTATGGTGGTGGCGGGTACTGTTGATAAGAAGGTACAGGTGGCATATAACCGTACGCCGGAGGGGGATAATACTGATGATGGTGATATTGCCCAGGTGGTGGAGGCATCATTGGATGGGCAAAATGCTGCATTTGCTGCTTCTCCATACTGGGTTTGTTGTTCTCTCCTGTCCCAGCGGCCCCACCAGGAGGACCAGCATCTTGGGATGGAATAACAGCACCCATTCTTTGAGGATCCATTGATGGATAGTAGCTTCTATCTTGCTGAGGAGGAGGTGGAATGTTATAGTAATGCACTCCCTGGGTTTGATCCTGGTTCTGCTGCTGTGATATGACGGCTCGAGGCAACAACCCGCTATGAGCCACAGATGCCTGCTGCCTCGCTTGATCGGAACCTTCAGAGTCAGGTTTAGATGTCTGAGGTCTGCCCCACATCAGCTTCAACCTTAGGCCCTTGATAACTAGCTTGTTGGAGAGCTCTTCTGCTGCTTTTTCTGCACCTTCTCTGGTTGTGTAGGTTACAAAAGCGCAAGCCCGTTGGAGCACCATCTTGATGGATTCTATTTCACCGTGGGCGTAAAAGTGATCACGCAGATCCTGCTCACTAACCCTAGCATCAAGCCCACCAACATAGAGAGTTTTAATGGTCTCATCCTCTGGAGGCTCCAGAGAGGTCATCTCTCCTGCCTTGCCAAGTAACTTCAACGCCACAGGATCATTCACCCTACAAGTTTAGAAAAAAAAAAAAAAAATTCCAAGCGACAAATGATATCACCAATTTATGAAAGTTAACATAACAAAAATATTCAGTTAAAAGAAAATAGACCAGAAAATAAGAAATCAAAAGGAAGGAAATGTGAGATTAAGGATAATTACTGTATCCAGTATCCATAAAGAAATACCAGATATCATAAATTATCCATGCAATAAATTAATCTCATTTGTTGATTATTTTACTTGTTTTGCCCGTCTTGTCGGGGGGAAAAAAAAACCATTCCCTATAGATTGTCACTCTTTACTGCAGACAAAATGTAAAAGCAAAGAACCATGCAGCAAGCTAAATTAAGTGAATCAGACCTGGTAAGAAGCCCAGAACAAAAAAAAAACATGAACACTAGCTAACACAATCGTCTAAGACACTACAATGACTAAAGTAGGAAGCCATTTCAAACTACACGTACCCATAATAACGATCTTTGATATTTTGTTGTGACAACTCCCCAGTCACTGGCATCTCATGCCTATAAGGGCATTCAGCTCCTCTGGTACACTCACCCCTTATGTAGAAACTGCAAACATGAGCCCGGTTTCTTTTGTAGTATGGTGTTGTCCTTTGAAGCTTCAAAATAGTATCATTTGGGCGTACTTTTCCATATGAGGATTCATAATCCAAGCCAGCTCGAGTCTGAACAATATTTCAATTGTTAGTCATAATTGATTTGATGGTTGAGAAATTCTCAAAGTAAGGAACAAATGAGAGCTTCATGAGACTTCCAAGTATTTCTGGGCTTCTTTCAAGACAACAAAATAAAGCAATTATATGCAACAAAAAATTATCCTAAAATTGGTACAAAAACCACAATTCACAACATATAAAATTTGCTCCCTTATGCTGATAGACTGATAACTACATAAACTATTTGAAACAGAAAATAGTACATGTTAAATGGAGCATCAAAGAGAATATAATTGAGCATAAATGCTAGATTGGTCAATTAAATAACAGGAAGTGGCCTGGGAGTTTTGATTGCTAGGTTGATTAACACTAGTGTAGCACGGATACTGCAAAAAAGTAAATGTACCCGTATCCGATACATATCCGATACGATACTTGTAAGATACTTCTGCATATGTATCTCATATTCTAACATTTGTGATATGATTTTTTTTCAATAATTTTTTACTATATTACTTAAAAACTTGAAAAAAGACTTAATATTTTAGTTAATTACTATAAATATCCTTATATTACTTTAGAAATTCTTGTTTAAAAATCAAAATATCTATACTTATATCATAAAATATTGAAATATATATTATAAATGTCCCCGTACCTGTATCCTAAAATTTTGAAAATTTTCCATATCCCCATATCATGCCATATCGTATCGGATCGGATACTCATACCTGTATCTATGCAACCTAGATAAACACACTCAAATTATGACTATGCTCAAACTAAGTTATCAGATTTTATTAAATTGAGGAGAGGTAGCAGAAACCAAAAGCAGGTTCAACATGACATTCAGAAGGGAAATATACAGGGGAAGAGGAAAAGATCAAATCCAACAGTCAAAGTTATATAAATTCAGATGAAACTCAAAAATAATGAGAAGGAAAACCAATAATGAATATATAAATCCAACAGAATTCAATTCTCCAGACCGAACTAATAAAAAAAGACTCAAATTTGCTGAGACAACATTATGACAGAAACAACAATCATTGTATTAACATCATGGGCTTTTAGAATCTGGAATACAGCCATTGATATGCCTGATCCATAAACACAACTTCTATGTAAACATGTAACCCTTCCAAACGTAAGACAAGGTTGATCCATAATTACATAAGTATTGACTTTTGATAGTTTGCTGTAATTTCTATAGGGAATTCATTTAGTTATTTTAAGTAGTTTTAGGGTAACTATAATTAAATTAGAGTCATTGAAGATAGTACGAGGATAGGATAATCCTACAAGCATTTTTCCTAGTAAATCAAATTTTATTAATCCTATACAAGGCTTCCTACATGTAAAAATACAATGCAACTAATTTTTGTAAATATGAATCATATATTCAGGATGGCTTTCTCTGTTGGATTCTAGAGTTATCTATCTGTTGCATTCTAGGTAACATCCTATATCAATGCCTAGCCTCAATAGTGTATTAGTGTATTTCTTTCCTTGTCCTGCATCATCACTTCCTAATAACTCATCCCCATGATTTTTGGGCCAAAAATAAGTTAACAGACATTTCCTTGACCCCTTCCTTTTCTTTATGTGCGCAAGCAGATGATATAATTAACTAAGCTACATAAAACTATGTACCAGTAGCATATCTACGAACGGTCATAACTTGTATGCATCAATTTTAAACTATAACAATGACGATAGGCATAACTGCAGAACACCAACGTAACATCCATTAAAATTATGGGCAAGTATCATCAACTATAAGATATGGTAGTAAAATCAATAATACCTTGCGATCATGTTCTTCAGCAAAATACTCCCGATTAACATCACTCTTTGGAATAGCATCATGGGAGCTAATGCTGAGAGCAGTGTCTCGGACTTGAACTGGTAATCCATATTCAAGATCCAGAAGGCAGACTTGACAAACGTTTTTCAGTTTACTACATGTTTGGCAGATCTCAGTTTTCTTATATCTTGCATCTCGACCAGGTCTCCATCTAAAAACAGTAAATGGCCGTGTACAAATCTTACACTCCTTATCATACTCAGCTCTTGTCTGCATCCATTTATACCCATAAATTAAACAATTAAAGAAGTTAGATAAACAAATTTAACTTCCTCGGAGAAATATGCTAAAGTCTGAAAATGATTATTATGAACGCAACAAGATGAAGAATTTAATGGTAGTTTACAGATTAATCACTCTGCACAGGGCAAGCTTAATTTTCGTGAACAAAAGTTGGATTCAAACACACACATTACAAGCTATAGTTATTGGAATATGTATTTTTCATAGCTGGTACAAGGTAATAGAGTTAGGTCTCCAATTACGCACAGTAACCGACCTGTTACACAAGAACTTTAAACTAGAGACTAGCGCACACAAACCAGTTTACAATCTCAGAAACCTAAGTTATATAATTCTTTGCGGATAGGAAAGACAAATATTTTTAAATATCCTTAATTCTTGTTTCTCAGCATTGTTTATACTTGTGAAAGGGATTAAAACAAAGAGGGAATAAGAAGATACATACCATACGAACATATGGGTTGTCACCCAGACATGATTCGCAGATAATAGGGAAATCAGATCGTTCCCAACCATCTGCCTCATGGTCTCTAAGCAACCTATGCGCCATGCTCAAATCTGGATTTGGTTCAAAGATCCTTTTTTCCTTGTTTGCTTCAATGAGCCTCGGCGAACGTCGGAAAGGCTGAAAGGGTGGCAGATGGCTTGCCCAACGAACAAAACAATGGCGAGCGATTATCCACGGGTCGAATCCGAATTCTCCAATACACTCGAATCTCGTTTAGGGGCTGGTTATTTATTTTTGACCCGATAACTGATTATAAAATCAGAAAAAGACTCACGATGGCCAGCGAACCGAACAAGTCCCTCCCTTCCAGCGAGCTCTGGCCGGAATAACGTTCACGGTCACGGTGCAGGGTAGGCAAAAGCAGCAAGGGGCAAGGGTTAAGAGTCCAGGCCTCACACTTTCTGCAAAAGTACGATGATGAGGGAAAGACTGGGGAGGCACTAATTTTATTTCATGTATATTTTAAAACTAATTCTTTACACATAACATGCAAAAATATACCATTCATTTAAAAATATAATATATTTTTAATTAAATTTTATTTTTTAATAAAATAATTATTTATTTTTAAATTAATTCTATTTTTTATATTTATTTTTATTAAACATTTTATAATAAATATAAAATTATTATTAATAAAAATATTTTTTTAAAAAATAATAATTTTATTTTAAAAGATTAAAAATATTTTTTATTTTTAAATATCTAACTTTTTAAAAAATATTTTAAATTTAAAAAAAAATAAGAAGTATAATTTTGCTGTGAAAAATGAGGGTGATTGATGGAAATCTCGATCCTTGATATGATTCGTTTGTTTAAAATTGAAAAAAATAAACAAGTAAATATTATTTTATAAAAGTTAGATAATCAAAAATAATAAATATTTTATAAAAAGTAAATATTATTTTACATTTGATTGGAATAATCAAAAATAATTATTATTTACTTATTTTAAAATTTTATCATATCTTTATAGGTCTCTGTATTTTTATATTATCTTCTTTCACTTACCATATTAAATTGTTGTAAGAAACTATTCAAATTAACTTCATAAAATAATTGAAAATTTATTTATTTTTTATTTTGATTATTTTAAAAAGTGTAATCAAACAACATAAAATTTTATGAAATACATTTTTCAAAAAAAAAAATATGAAAAAGCTTAAACAAAGAGTTCATAATCTGATTTGTTGACAAAGGATGCATGGTAAAATCTTTCTTTCAAAAAATTAGCACAACATTAACTAATTAGATAAAAGTTTTAGGCAATTGATAACTTTTAATTAAAGTACTATATATATAAGGATTGGATTTAAACACCTAATTGAGAGGATCTATTACTTATGATTATATTTTGTGATTTTAATTTATATCTCAATCCTGCGTTTGTTTTTCAATATTTTCTTGATGTGACATAGACAAAGTAAGGATGTCAAACATTAATATCTTGCAGTTTTTCACTACAGTTTCATCAAGCTGTAAAGGTAAAGGAAACAAATATAATTAAAAAATTGGTAAATTATTGAACTGGAAAGAAATAAACTTTAATAAAAATGTGAGTACTTGGAAATTAAATTGCAAAATACTTGGCTATGCAAGTAGCCCGACATCCCAATAAAAAAGATCAACTAAGATTTGAAATGAAAATAAAAAATAAAAATGGAGAAATCATTTTTAAAAAAAATTAATCTTTTAATCCTTTAATTTTTAACTCACTTGCAACTCAGTCCCTTAACTATAACTCGCTGCAACTCAGTCCCTCAACTTTTGATTTATCTATAACTCGGTCCTTATTTTTTAATTTTTTTAAAAAATTTTTTATCAAATAAGAGGGATTCAAAAATGCTCATATATTATTTTAAAATATCCTCTTCTTATTCATTAATGTGAGATATAAGCTAACATGAAAAAAAATTAACAAAGGCTAAGGGACTAATTTGTAAGTGATTCAAAAGTTGAGGGGCTGAGTCATAGGCGAGTTATATAGTTGAGGGACTGAGTCACAGCGAATAATAGTTAAGAGATTAAGTTACAAGTGACTTAAAAGTTGGAGGACTAAAAGATTAATTTTTTTTATTTTTATTTTTTAATCAATAAAAGATGGTAAAAGATACAAGAATAATAGAAGTATAAACAATAAAAACACAAAAAGTTGAAGATGTTCGAAATGATTGAAATTTTAAATTACTATGGTGTAAAAGAAATTTAAAATTATTACAGAATTATAATTTGAAATGAATTTGAATTTGAATTAAATTTAAATTTATAAATTTTTGTTTATTCAAATAATAAATTTGATTTAAATTCAAACCTAAATTCTTATTAATGATAACAAACCTTTAATTTTTTTTGGTCAAATATTATATTATATATTTTTTATGTATTATATTATTTTCACATTTATTATGAATATTTTTTATCATTTCAATTTTTTAATATTTTTCAAAATTTAAAATTAATTTTTTAACTTTATATCAGGTAACAATAATGAAAATTGTTAAAAATATATAATTTAAAAAAATTATTACTTTTAATTCTAATCATTATATATAAAAAAATAAAATGCAATTTTGTGTTTCATATACCTTCCCCGCTATTTTGAGCTTTGGAGTCAAGTAAGGATTAATGTTCAATTTTTAATAATTTTTATGAATTCTGATTTAACTAGTAAGGGTGCTAATTCCTATTATTTTTTTTCAAATTATTTTATGTTTGTTTACTACAATAAAAATAAATTAATTTATTTTTGAGATAGATTCAAATTTGAAAATAAAATAAAATATGTTAATTTTTTATTGTCAAATTGTTTTATGTTTGGTTACTATCATAAACAATAAATTAATTTATTTTTGAGACGGGTTTGGATTTGTTATTCAACACGGATAAGTAATTAAAAATATTAATTTTTTAAATAATTTATTATTAAACTATTAATATTTTTATATTTGATAATTTAAATATTATTATTTACAAATTTTGACTCACAAATTACAAATTAAATTTTAAGATATACAAATTTTTAAATGAGCACTTATTAATTTTGGAAAAAACTTATAATTTATCAAATTATTTTAATTTACAAATCACCTATAAATTTAAAAAAAAATTGTTGAGGAGTACTTATAAAGAGTAATATTTAAATTATTAAAAAGATTTTATTAAAACATATATAATACTTTTAAATTACTTATTGATATTTCCAGTATTGGTTATTCGGAAGTGAGTCAAAATACTTGGTTAAAATGATATTTTCATATTTTATAGTAAGAAATAACGTTAGCTTATTGGGACAACAAAGATTTGTCTAGTGCTCCTCGAAATAAAATTTAAGAAGTAAATTAGATCTTTAACCCTGACTTAAATGATGAGACTTACTATTTATTATTACTCACATCAACTTTAATTGGTGGCTTAAAATATTTTTAACATATGATTTGATGAGTAAATCAGGTATCACTCCCAGTTAGTGGTATTCAAATTAAGGATATTTTACCGATATTTTACGTATCCCGAATTGCTTCATATCTGAGACCATTTATTTCCTTTAGTATTTGTTTTTATGAAAGTAATAAAGATATTATTAACTCGCATGTCAAAAAAGTTTGGTTAATTATTGGAAAGGTTCTTCAAAATCAAATTCTACTTGAACCCATCTTAATTCAATATATTTATATATTAAAAATGTAGAATTTAAAAATGATAGCAAAAATAAAAAATATATTTAAAATAAAAACAACAAAAATATGTGAAGTTAATAGAGAAAGCAAGTGATAGAATGTGACAAAAGATGCTCTGTATATACTTACAAAAAAAGTACCCTCTATATATATATATGTTAGGAATATATAAATAATTATAAAATAATTAGATAATGAATTATTACTTTTGTAAAATAGAGTTTCATGAAGACTCACGAAAATACCATAAAATTAAAAGAATCGCTAGATAATAATCATTTTTTTATTATTATAACAAAAGATAATATAAATTCAAATTTGCTAAATAGATAAATTTCTTTCCATAAATTGTAAAATATCTAAACCATGTAAAAGTTACTTTTGTGACAGACTGGTAAGCTTAAGCTTGAATACTTTTTGTTAAACAAAGATCCACGAAGGTTTATGGGAACATTAACCAAAAAAAAAAAAAAACCCTAAATAATATATGAGTTACTATACAATTTAATTATAAACTATAAGTTTAAGAGTAATTTAAACTTGATATTCGTAACTGATATATTTTAAATTCTAAACAATTAAAATTAACACATCCTCACCCCCACCATTAATTTAAAACTAACATTTATTTAGTTTAAATTGTATATTAATACAATACAAATCACCTCAAATTATTATAACACAATAAGATAAATCAAACACGAAAAAAATATCAAATCAACGACATCACTAATTCTATTGCTAAATTAATGATGAAATTTAACAACAAAATATTTTGTTATTAAAATTTTATCATTATTCCAATACTAATACATCAAAAATAATTTACGAATAGAATTTACCGATGAAAAATGTTGTCACTAAGGTTTAAAATATTTTATTTCAATTTATTAACGGAATTTGTGACAGAAAATATGAAATTAATATAATGTCAAATTTCAGTTAAAAAAATATAATGTCAAATTTATCAGTTTATAAAGTGATTTATTTTATTACAATCAAATTAAACAAACCCAAATATATCAAGTTCAAGTCCTCTTCTTAGCATGAGAGATGAAGCGGTCATTGGAAGAGCTTGCCGTGGATCGTCGATGTTCGAATTATTTAGTACCGCGGAGAGAGAATGTTGGTCTATAATAAATCATAGACATCATGTTTCAGTCTCTGAGTCTTTCTAGAATTGAAAACCAACAACAAAGCACAAAGTAATTAAACTCCGCCTATGTTTATAGTCGGTCCCAAGCCCGGATAAAAGAGGAGGGTTGTGTTAGGCCATCAACAGCCAATATAAAACTTTGTTGAATCTATCATGAACATGAACAATAGACGTTATAATGTTAATGCTAGGTCGTTGCCCGTAAGTAACGCGCTGCATGGCTCGAGTACAGTGATAAGTGAGTTAGAGCCGCTGCATCGGCGCCCGGATGTAGTGTTAAATGAGCAAGGGTTACCGCGTCATTCTGGACGCACGCGGCTAAAGAAGTTAGTCCATAAGAGCAAAATTAGATTTGGTACTTGGAATGTTGGGACATTAAATTGTAAATCTGTAGAGGTTGTAGGGGTTATAATTCAAAGGAAAATCAATATCCTTTGCCTGTAAGAAACAAAATGGCGTGGGGACGAAGCTAAGGATATTCAATGTTTCAAACTTTGGTATACAGGAAAAGTAAGTGCACGCAATGGAGTAGGCATCATTATAGATAAGGAGTGGAAGAAGAACGTTGTAGAAGTTAGCAGAATTAGAGACAGAATTATTTCCTTAAAAATGATAATTGGACGCGAGACTGTTAATATTGTTAGCGCTTATGCGCCGCAAGTCAGGACAGAAGCCAGTCTTAAGGAATTATTTTGGGAGGATCTGAAGGGGTTGATTCGACATATACCACAGAGTGAAAAGATTTTTATTGGAGGAGACTTTAATGGGCATGTTGGGAGGGAATCTGGTCAGTATGCGAGGGTGCATGGTGGTTTTGGTTTTGGAGAGCTAAACAATGAAGGACAAACTCTTCTTGATTTCTCATTGGCGTATGATTTTAAGATTGCCAATACTTGTTTCAAGAAGAGAGATGAGCATCTCATCACTTACAAAAGTAGAGCCTCAAGGTCACAGATTGATTTTCGTTTGGTTGTTAGGAACACAGATGGAAGACTTTGTAAAAATTGTAAGGTGATTCCCGGAGATGCTGTAACGACACAACATAGGATCCTAGTCCTTGATGTGTGTATTATGAGTAAAATCCAAAAACATCGATAAGTAGTGACACCAAGGATTAGGTGGTGGCAATTAAAAGGTGAGAAGCAAGATATTTTCAAGCGAAATCTTTTGAATAAAGGAATTTGGGAATCCCAGGGAAGTGCTAACATCATATGGGAGGATATGGCTAAAAAGATACGGGAGGTTGCAAAAGTAGTTTTGGGAGAATCAAAAGGTTCTGGTCCGAGAGATAAGGAGTCTTGGTGGTGGAATAATAGTGTACAGGACAAAATCAAGTATAAGAAGAACTGTTTTAAAGCCATACATTTGTGTAACAATGATAAAAATTGGGAGAGGTACTGTATGGCTAAGAAGGAAACTAAGAGAACTGTGGGTGAAGCTTGATCTAAAGCTTTTGAAGAATTTTATAAGAACCTTGAGACGAAGGAAGGAGAGCAAAATATTTATAAGATTGCTAAGAGTAGGGAAAGAAAATCAAGAGATCTAGAACAGGTAAGGTGTATTAAGGATGAAGAGGGAAGAATTTTAGTTACAAATGATGAAATTAAAAATAGATGGGAGACTTACTTTTCTAAACTTTTCAATGATGGAGAGGATTCATCTAGTAACTTGGAGGATTTAGTAACTAGTGAAGGAGAACAAAATTTGTCATTTTATCGAATAATACGTGATAAGGAGGTAAAGGAAGCTCTTAAGAAAATGGCAAATGGTAGAGCCAACAGACCTGATTGTATATCTATCGAAGCATGGAAATGTTTAGGTGAAGAAGGGGTGAGATGGTTAACTAAGTTATTTAATGTGATTTTACGGTCCAAGAAAATGCCTGATGAGTGGAGGAGAAGTACATTAATTCCTATTTATAAAAATAAAGGAGATATTCAGAATTGTACTAACTATAGAGGGATTAAACTCATGAGCCACACAATAAAATTATGGGAGAAAGTAATTGAGCATAGGTTGAGATTGGAGACAAGTATTTCTGAGAATCAATTTGGTTTTATGCTAGGTAGATCAACTACAGAGGCGATTTATCTACTAAGGGGATTAATGGTAAAGTATCGTTGTAAAGATAAAGATCTACACATGATTTTTATTGATTTGGAAAAAGCTTATGACCGTATACCAAGAGAAGTGTTTTGGAAAGCGTTGGAAAAAAAGGGAGTACGGATTGCTTATATTAAAGCCATACAAGATATGTATGAGGGGGTAAAAATTAGTATAAGAACGCCTAGTGGTCAAACAAAAGATTTTCCTATAAAGATTGGACTACATCAGGGATCATCTTTGAGTCCTTATTTGTTCAACTTGATTTTAAATGTTTTGACGGAACATATTCAAGAGGAAATCCCAAAATGTATGCTCTTTACGGATGATATAATTCTTATAGCAGAGACAAGAGAAGAGGTTAATTGCAAACTTGAGTTATGGAGGAGGACATTGGAGTCGAAAGGGTTTCGTCTGAGTAGAAGTAAGACGGAATATTTATATTGTAAATTTGGTAAAGGAATATTTGACAATAATTTGGAAGTGAAATTGAAAGATCAAATTATACCTCAAGTGAAAAAGTTTAGATATTTGGGAGCCATTATTCAAAATGATGGCGAAATCAGTGGAGATATTTCACATATAATTCAAGTTGGGTGGTTTAATTGGAGAAAAGCTAAATGAGTTATTTGCGACCGTAAGGTGCTTAATAAACTTCAAGGAAAGTTTTATCGCACTGCTATCAGATCGGCAATGTTATATAGTAGTAAATGATGGGCTCTAACGGGATAGTAAGAGCATAAAGTTGGAGTAGCAGATATGAGAATGTTACGATGGATGTGTGGATATACACGTAAAGATAAAATTCGAAATGAGCACGTACGCGGAAAAGTGAGGGTGGCACCTATTGAGGAAAAAATGATAAAAAATCGGTTGAGATAGTTTGGGCATGTACAAAGAAGACCAAGGGAAGCACCAGTGAGAAGAGTGGAACATATAACTTTGAGTCCGATTAAGAGAGGTAAAAGAAAGCCTAAGAGAACACTCTTAGAAGTTGTTGAACACGATCTCTTAATTAATAATATTCTTAAAAGCTTGATAAATGATAGAGCACAATGGCGTCTTATAATTCATGTAGCCGACCCCACCTAGTGGGATAAAGGCTTGTTGTTGTTGTTGTTTGTTGTTTATGCTTGGCACTTATTATGTCGCTCAACATCGCTATTTTCTGAGTCAAGTTCTTGCGATCTTCAGAAAGACCCAGTAACTGAGAATCAATTTCTCTAAGCTTGACCTCCGTGACTTGAATTTCCTCTTTTGCTACTGACACATCTGACATGTCAGACCCAAAAACTTTTGCACAAACTGATTCAACCCAGTCCTCGTCGAACCCAAGAATAATTGCTTCACTTAGGTTTTCCTTCAAGGTTGATTTTTCTGATGGTGTGATGGTATAAGCAGTCTTGGTGGCTAGCATGACCAAAATATCAACCAGAACTCGATAGGACCAAGCTATTATCCGAGGGGTTCGATGTTCACGAGGTAGCAATAGTTGAGGATATCGCTCGAGTGCTTGAGCAAGTAAAGCTGTTTCGCCAAGTTTGAGCTCCACAGGTTGAAAAATTTCACAGATCCCCAATTTAGGAGATGAAGTTCCAACACCAGCAATTTTTGATTCTGTCACAGCCAAAAAGTTAGGGGATGGTTCAAAGACAAAAAACGCATAATCATCATTGAAAGAATGACACTTACGATGAGGGGCAGAACGAGTAACTTCAGGTTCCTCTTGAACACTTGAGTCATCTCTAGTTTCTTTAACAGTCTGCATAGAACAAAACAGAAAAAAGCATATATTTGACTTTATTTGGTTCTCTTTTAAAATAAATTGTTGCTTACAATTGTGTTAGAGCTCAAAACATGTACATGTGCTCTAATGAGTTCTCTTTAACTATTACTTGTATTACCTCTCTATTTCTTGTAGTAGTAGTCGTTGGCACCTGTGAAGCATGTACTCTAACAGTTCCTTTCCCTGGTTCTGAGCTCTAAATGATATCAAACGATAAAATTTGTTTAGCGAACTTCTTCAACGATTCATATAGAAAATAATTTTCTCTTTATTCACTAATAAATTCTCCTTCTAGTAATATTTAGATATATATACATATATATCTCTTTGAATAAAAACGAAAAGTAATTTGAGCAGTTAAAAGATTAAGCTATCTAATATATTTTCTTTGGTGGCACTTCCATTCAAAAAATTATTTGTTAATTCTAATGAAATAATTAATTTAGTTGCTCAATAATGGATGATACTCTAGTTTGCTTCCTTGACTCTGAATCAGTTGATTGAATTGCTATTGTAGCTTCCTCAGTTGCATCATTCTCTTGAGAGCCTTGTTCGTGTTTTTCTTTCATGCTAGCAACCTAAAAAACATGAAGAAAGTTTCTTTTTCACTTCTTGTGCTCTTTTCAATTATACAAAAAGATCACATGTAAGTATTTGGTCATGAGAGCAACTTTTTTTACTTTTTACATCATTCGCATAGTTATAACAACCAAGTGTGAATAATAGGTAAAGAGATAGGATATGTCATATGGATCACGTTTGGATTTGATGAAACTGTCTTTAACGTTGATGCAGTGGCTTTTCCTGCAGCTTCCTTCCCTATTTCTAAGTTCTGAATAACACCAATATATTATAATAATAATAATAATAATAGATTTAAAAAACCATTAACATGCACTTGCAGGTTTTTAATGTGATAAGATATATATAAAAGAGTTAAGTTTCCATTCTAATCACCTTAGTTGCTGGTAACTTTGAAGAAGAAACAACTACTTTGCCAACTTCCTTCTCTATTTCTTTAAAACTCTAAATTACACCACAATATATAACTAGTAGTCCACTAAGGTCACTTTATTAATTCATAGATATTTTAACTATCCAATATTCGGTTCTTTTTCCAGCAGTTCACTAAAATTGAGATTAAATATATGAGCTTACCATTGTAGATGAACCATATTGCAAGCCTGCTGGTTGTGAACAGACTGATGCAGCAACCATTCTATTTTTCATAACTGAAGTGTCTTCTGGAAAGCTTTCAGCAACATTCTGTGAAAGTAACAAAAGATATGTAAGCCATGTGATTAGAATAAATTCCCAATCCATTATTTAGGAAAGGGCATAAGATGCTAATCAATACCACTGGAAACTCATTTGGGAGAGGAGTAATTAATTCTGAAGATGAGTTTGTTGCTGTTAAATCATCTACCATGGTTGCTCCCACTGCATCCTTTGATGTAGGACCTTCTTGAACTCTTTCTTGTATTACGGGATCCATACTCTGAAGAATATAAAATAGAAATAAGATATCAAAATTTTAATTGATTAAACTTGTCCTTTGAAGTTTCCAAAGAAACAGAGAAAGAAATTGTTGGAATACTTCATGCTTCAAACTTATTTAGGGCTACAATCTCATCAAATTTAGAGGTTATCAAAATCATATATCCTAACTCTATCTCTATTATTAACAGCAAGCACTTTGATTCCTGGATGTATGGCAAAAATAAAAAAATAAAAAATCATGAAAATATTTTTTAACATTCCATAATCCTGCATATGCAATAAAAGAATCTAAAAATTATTTCCCTTTTTCAGCAGACAATCACTCAAACTTAAATAAGCTTATCGACGACTTCAACAATTTAACAACTTGAAAAAGCTATGACATGGTTAATTTATTGACTATCATTGCGCACTTTGCAAGTTTCAAATGAAATATTTAGTGCATATGTTTCAAATGAAATATCTAATTAACAATCTGTAACATTTGTTGATGCTATAATAATAACTACATCAACTTTATTAGAATTCAAAAGTTAATGAGATCTGAAAACCAATAACATTTCAAATAAAAAGATAGGTTTTTTTTTTTTTTTTATGTTGTAGATTATGGAGGAAACATTAATGGAAGTTCAAGCTAAAGATCCTCCTCCGGTTTCAAAGAAACATGCATCAGAAACATCACTAGCTGAATCACAACTGAGATCAACACCTTTACATGTAAGTTTATAGATTATTTAAGTAATTTCAACATGATAAGAAGTCGCGTATCAAACTAGTCAAGATGATTTTTTTGCTAATTTTTTAATATTCCAAGTAGGAGTTGGAGGATGAACATAAAACAAGTGAATCAACTACACAGCTCCAACGTGGGGATATTGCAGAAAGAAAAATAATCATTAAAGCTTCTAATAAATCGATTACACCATCTGCTAATGATGTATGTTATAACATAGAAGACTATTTATTTTCAAGTTTAATCAATTAAAATTTTGATATCTTATATGCTTTTGAAAATTAAATTCATTAGTAAAAGAGAAGACAAAAAAATGTTAGTTTATTAAAATTGGAATTTAAATTCGCTCATTCCAACACATTCAGATATGATTAAAAGTAAAAAGTTTGCTTTGTTCATGTAATTGTTAGTCTTACTTACCTTTGCTAAGTTTGAGGATGAACCACTTGTTTCTCCCATATATGGCAGAACCTGAGCACTATCGAATTTGAGAGAGAGTTGCTCCTCTGTGTTTACTTGATTTTTTGAATTCAAATTTGACGGTCCTTCTTGCAGTTGAGAAGTAACTTCTGCAATGGAATTCTCAATATCATATTAATCTTAATAGTACATTAATAGTCTTAAACTAACAAATATGAGCAGTGAATTTTTTCTAAATTCATACCTTTATATTTGGGACAATTAACAACTTCAGGATTTTGCAGAGTTTGGAAATCAATCCCATCACAAATAGCAAGAAGTATGGGCAGTTCTTTGAGAATTAACCTTGATAGCTTTGGGAACACATCTTTCAACACCATCTTCTTTGTATCATCATGTTTGCGTTTGAATACTTGCTCCAACTCTGAGGCTTCTTGTATTTCCAAGCACTCTAGCTTTGGAAACATGGAAGGTGTTGTGATGGAGAAAAGACATTTCAATCTATTACAACCACTGATGTCAATATCTTTTAACTCTGGGAACAAAAGTTGATGCAAAGGATCCTCGTCACTCTCTTCAATAATGTCAACTAATTCATCACAGTTTTTTATCCGTAAAGAGGTCAATTGTGGGAGGCTTTTTGATATTGAGACACAGAAGATTGCTCTTAGCTTCTTACACTCTGTAATGTATAATTCAGAAAGATTGGGGAGGCTCAAAATATATTTGGGAGCCTTCCATATATGCTTCAACTCACTCAGATATTGCAAACTCATTTCTTCTAAGCTTAATGTCACTGGACCTTCAATTTCAACTCCTTCCAAATTAAGAACCTCTTCTATCTTGGAGTTGCTTACACGAAGATATGTCAACTTCTGCACACCCTTGATCATTGTCATCAAGTGCTAATAAAGATAGATCAATTCAAAATTTCAGTCCGAATTGAAATGATCCCATTCACAAAGACATATGGCCATGGATTATGCTTGCTTATATCGACCAGACTGTCTGTATACATTATATGTTGATCAATGTTTAACTGCCTCTATTTATAAACATATAGTGCATCTTTCTTTTCAAAGTATTTAGCAGGAATTTTTAAGATTTTAATGTTATTACTTTCTTAATTAACATCTTCAATAAGAATTTGAGGAAAGACACACAGACACACAATACACGTATATTGAGTAAAATGCTCTGACCACCCTTCTATTTTGTCTTTAATTACACATACCTCGTTTTTATTTTGAAAACATACAATTTAGTTCAATTTGTTAGTTCTGTCCGGAATATTCTAAAAAGATTCTAAAAACTTATTTTTAAATTAAAATTCATATTTACATGAATTTTGTTTACTATTTTGCCCCTCCCCACCTCTTTTCCGCCATGAGTCATTGGCTAATATTCAACCCCTCCATATGCAATCAATTACTGGATAATATAATCAATTAGCCAAGATTTTGATCGAATATAAAATCATTACTGCTCTATCTAGCGTATTTTATGGGGATTCTATACGATAAATTATTTTTGAAATTCGATACATAATCAATTGTCGCTTAAAAAGCATTTTACAACCGTTACATTTTGAATTATTTATATAATATCTCAATTTTGGATCATTTTATTATGTGTTGAATAAAAATGTGTTTGAAATATGTTTTTAGCCATTTTAAACAATATAAATAAATAAGCTTCAACAAATTTAATGAGAATAAGAAAATATGCAATTTTATAATATAATAAAAATAATATAAGTTTGAAAATGTATTTATTATATATTTTTAGTTGTATGCAATTGTTTTTTGCACATCTAGATTTTGAGACAAATTTTATATTAAAGAGGGGCATTTTGGTCAAATTAAAAGTTTAAAAACCAAACTAAACGATCAACTATTGGTTGGATAGATGAAAATAGAATCTCAAATATATAAGAAAAATTTATGTAACATATACTTTAATTTTAAGGAAGGTTTAAATAAGTTTTCAAAGAGAGGGGAAGTCCTTGTAATTAAAGCATGGTAGAACAGTGGTCAATGTATTTTACTCATATTTTGAAGCAAACCAAATTGTAAATTTCTATTCATGAAAATTTAGTAATTTAATGCCTTGACGTGACACATTTTTATGCATGAAAAATCAAAATATATTTTTTTTAATCTTCAAATTTAAAGGCTACGCAATTTGTTGGAACAAACAGAAAATTTACAAGAAAAAAGGTCAAATAAACAAAGCAATGCATATAAACAGAACAATAAGACAAATGTGTTACCTCTGGAGCTATTCCTTGTAAATAAGCCATCAAATCTACAAAAGATCTTCCGCTGAACTCTTGACCATTTAAATCAATGCTTTGTAGAGAAGGCAATCTGAGATTATATTTTTTTGTCCAAATATTGTGGATCATCTTTGGTACATCTCTAAGAGATAGTTCTTCCAAAGCAGGGAGGTCAATATGACGCTTATCACTTTCATTCTCATTTGATAAATGATCTCCATCATCATATTTCCCAAAAATGTATTTCAAATTAGCAGCTTTGTCGATTTCCAAAGATTTTAATTTTTGAAGACCACCGAGAAGAGAAAAAGGAAATATAAACTTCAGTTTGTCGCACTTCTCGATTATTAAACGCTCCATTTTTGGTAAAATGGAACAATCGTTATCATTAGAATCTTCTTCAACAACATTGACTAATTCCTCATTGTACCTTATACACAAATAGGACAGCTGCGGTAGGCTTTTGTATGTAGAGACAGAGAACACAGTTCTGAACTTTTGATTTCCCACAATTGCTATTTTTTTTAGATTGTGGAAGTTGAGAAAATATTGGAAGCCAACAGTTGGGCTCATTGGGCAATCAACATTAACAATCTCTTGTATTTCGGATTCCTTTGCTGCTTCACTTGCCACATCTTCCATGCGCTCCTTAATTTCCTACAAGTTTTTCGGTTCATAGCAATGCAAATTTAATTAACATTCAACTTTAGTGAAATTAAATAACAGTGCAACTTCAATATTATCATATTTTAACCAATAAAAAAGGGATAAATATGCCTAATACATTTACAAGTATCCAATAAAAAAAATCCAAAAACTAATTTAAAAATTTATACACGTGTATATATATTTCTTGTGAGAGTGAGATATTTATACCAACACACACCACACAGCAAAAACACAAGCGTGCACAAACTATTCTTAGGAAATGTTTTAAATTTAAAAGTCTGTATACATATAAACCTCGGTCACTTTGACATATAACTGTTGAAGCATCCACACAGAAAAAATCAACCAAAGCCATCATTTTTTTGAGAACGTAAATAAATTTTTTGGCAATCATTCATGATATATAATCTTTATACAATATGAAAATCTCAATAAATTGCATTTTTTAGATTTACTGCATTGTGCAAAACCCGCATTAATTATATATAAAAGTTTGCAATGATGAAATTGTAAGAGAAAATAAATATAAAAAAATGTCTTTCGGGGAGAAAACAGAGCAAAATTGACATGCTATAAAAGGCAAGTTAAAATATGTTACCTTAGGTGCTTCCACAGTCTGTAGAGATGAGCATTCCAGTTCATAGTTCTTGATACAAATGCCCCTCATATTTGGTACATATCGAAGGAATAGATGTTCCAATGCAGGAAGATCAATGTGAGGCTCATTATTCTCATTCTCATTTGATAGACACTCTTCATCATGGTATTTTCCAAAAACATATTTCAGTTCGTCAGCCTCGTAGATATGTATAAAGTTTAATTCTTGAAGACCTCCAGAAAAAGTAAATGGAAATATAAATTCCAACTTATGGCAATCCATGATATCGAGCCTCTGTAGTTTTGAGAAGATGGAGGTGCAATTGAGATGGCCATCATCCTCTGCTTCATTTGTTATTATGTGCTTCAATTCTTCACAGTCATCGATTTCCAAATTCTCTAGCATGATGGTTGTGGCAATGGATACACTGAACAATGACTTTAACTTTGAACATCCCACAAGTCTCATCCGCCTAATATTTTGTAGGTTCAATGGTTGTTTCACAAGACACTTAGCTGTATGGAATATTTCAATCCTTCAGATTGATGCACATGATTCCTATACAACCAATCACTTCTCTTATATTCAACATACATCACTAATTTCATTCTATCATTTAATCCTATATCTCGATTAAAAAAACCTGATTGAAAGTATCAATGAACCGAAAAAATATAATGGATCATGAAATACATGAAATACAAAATAAATGTGTCAAGCATTGTGTATTATGTTCTGCATTTTCGTTTATCAGATTGTGGACATTTAAGATGGAATTTTATGAGGAATTAAATTAATGACATGCCAACAAACACAAGGAAGTCTGATATTACACATATTGTATGATAATTGAGTAATCACGTGAATATAAAAATTTTTGTTACTTGAAATTATAGATGAATTCTTCATGTTATCTATTTCGGAATATGATTTTACATTTCAATTCTTTTTATTTTTTATTTTCACATCTTTACAAATACATTTAAAAACCTTTCCCTCAATGGGGAAAAACCCAAAAAATCATTTAGTGGGGAGAAACTTCACGTAAATAAATACTAACTTTTGTTAAAAAAAACATTAATTTTAATTTTAAATAATAGTTAAATTCACTATAAAGGTATAATATAACAAAATACTAAAGAAATAATACATAAAATTATAATAACTTAATAAAAATTTCTCAGTAGTAGTTTTGAAATAGATGGAGTATATTTTTCTGTCATCGAGCCTATTTATATATAAAAAAAATAACTTCCACTTAATATGTTGAAAGTATTATTATTGATGTGGGAAAAATGAGATAGTTTTAATTTAAGAAAGAGTAAATGATAAACATTACAGAATGCATTGTCATTGTTTTCCGCAGAACAGGGGTCAAAATTTTACTTTAAATAACATAGTTTCTTTACAGAATTTACCTTTTTTCAACATGATAAATGAAATGCTGCATCCAACATACACATGGATATATCCACACCAGACAGTGTCAGGATAGTATATATAATTCTTAGTACACTTAATAAAACAATATAATTAAGCGTTTTATTAATTTCTATAAATTCTTATCTTATTGATCAACATGAGAAGTATTGTATGATAATTGAGTAATTACATGAATATATGTTTTGTTCCTTAATGATGGCCGAATTCTTTTTGTTATTCATTGTGGCCTAACATCAAGGGACAGACCCAGAAAAATTACTTGATGGGGCAAAATTTGTACATAATTTAAGAAAACATATATTTTTAAATTTTAATTAAATTACTATAAAGCTATAGTGTATTGAAACTAAATACTTGAGAAACAATAAATAAAATTATAAGAACAAAAAAAAACTGACTCAACAATAGTTTTGGAATGGATGGAGTACATAACATTTTATTATTAATCAGTTGAAAGTACTATTGTTGATGTGAAAAGGAAAAGGTAAATTTAATTTATGAAACAGTAAAGGATAAACATTAAAAGAATGCGTTGTTTTTCTTGTCAAAGAATAATGGGAAGAAATTTAGTTAAGCTACTTTGAATTTTGAAATAACTTATTTGTTTTAGAGAATTTATCATTTTTAACATTATAATAGAAAATTTTATTTTTAGGGTGTATATGTGCGTGTGTTTGAGATCTGGGTCAACTAGGGGACCAATAAAATATTTACAGACCTACCCAACTCACCTAAATAGGGTGTATATATAATTTTTCTTCAATCCGTAAATATGTTCATTATTTTTCCTAAAAAAGATTTGCCCCTCATTGTTGTGCTAGTTCACTAAGCTAAGTAAATTTCTAAGCTTCCTTTTGCTTTCGAGTAATGTTTTCTTAATTCTTAATGCACTGGAAAAAGCTTAAACAGTCTCCTCCTTCCGGGTTGTCCCAAACAATGATAGTTGTCTACTATCTTGGTTACTATTTGCTCTATGGCTAGGAGTTGAACAAATATGATCCATTATTCTTGTACCACCATTTCCCTAAAACAATCTTGAACTTCCTTCTAACTTTGAAAATATCAAATCACATGTTCAATAAAATCAATCAAGTAAGAATAGGTCTATATTATTGATCTCCACTCCATTATTAGATCTACGTACCTTAAAAGAAAAAAATATGCATAAGCCATTCATGCAATACATGCTAAAATGGAATTTTAATTAATCAAATAACACTTTTGGCAGAAAAAAAAATAATATAAAACATGAACATAAATGTTGAACAGAAAGAACAAGATTAGAAAGCATACTTGTGAAATTGTGCCAGGTTCTGGTGTGATATTGGAAACTACAATATTAGTGTCTTTAGTTGGAGTTAGAAAACAACGCCCATGAGCCCACGAAACAACACTTCTTCTAGTGGAGTTTTCATGTTTCTCCTTTGAATCTTCTTTCAAAACTTTAGGTGACATTGGCACGAATTTCTTGCATTTTTTAAATATGCTAATGAAATTCGGCACCCTATAAAAACTCACATCTATTAGTGAAGGGAAAATAATTTCCTGGAGTGAACCTTGGTCCAAATCTATATATTCACCAAATATGTATTTTAGATTCTCACCACACCATATGGTTATTCCTTTCAACTTAGGAAGGTCTCCGACTAGAAGGAGTGATGATACCATTTCCAAGTTGCTGCAACCATGAATTTGAAGAGATATGAACTCTGGGAATGGTAAGCCATAACTCTTTCGATTATCAACATCCAACATTTCTTCTCCTAGGCAATAAAACTTGTTAGGTCCTTACAATCTGTAATTTCTAATTCTTCCAATCGTACTAGACTTCGAGCAACAGAAGGTTGGAAAATTGATGGTTTGAACAACAGGCATTCCTCTAGTTCCAGGACCCTCAAATAAGGTAGTTTGAGATTTTCATCTAAGAATATGTTGTGCAGTTTCTTACACTTCTTTAGCTTTAAAATCTGTAGCTTGTTGAGAAAGCTATAAGGTCTATGACCCTGATATAATTCTTTCACATCCACACTATCCAAATACAGCTCAACCAAGTTCGAGAAGACTATCATATTAGAATGATGATACTTATTAACATTAGTAAGGCACTCAATGTTAGCCCATTCATACAAGCAAAGCTTGATTAAATTATTCATGCCTCCATCTTCCATTGGAATAATGTCAGGGATTAGACATTTCCATCCAATTTGCTCAATTTTCCCAAACTCAAGAACATGTGCCTCTCTAACAAAGAACTTAAACATGGCTTTTGATATTAAATTTTTCATGAGTTCTGCGTTGAAGCATTTTGACCAGCCAGTATCATCATCAACAAAATATTTAAAACCAGAACAAGCGATAGAATACATTTGCAGAGCAACCTCATCTTCAATTCCTTTTTCATCCGCCCACTTCCAATCTTCGACAATGTAATTGTTAACAAAATATAATTCTTCCAATTGTAAGTATCCTTCAATTACTTTAAAAGGATTGTTCTTTTTAATTTCACATTCTCTTAACCCCAACGATCTCAACTTCCTAATTTCTTTTGGTACTTCAAATATTAAACAATTTTTCAGCTCAAGAGACTTAAAGCTTTGCAAGTTTTTCAAAACAGAGATGTCACCTAATTTCCAACCTACTAGGATGAGAGTTCGAATATTCTTTAATGAAAGTAGCGACTGCATTGGTAGAGTGAAACGTACATTGGGTTTATCATAGAGTACATACAAAATTCGAAGGTTGGCCATGTCACCAAATATTGCATATGATTTTTCTACGTTAACTTCTCCTTCTATCCAAAGTATTAAAATTTGAAGCTTCCTACCATCAAAAAGATTGGGAAAGTCCTTACTACTCCAAAACAAAAATTGCAAGTTTGGCTTCAATTCTTCCATTGGCTTTGTGATTACTTGCACATATTTATCTGCTATCCATAAGGCTACTTCACGAACTAAGTCATGCATCTTCACACATACTTCTTTAGCCTCCAACAATAAAGAAGATTTAATTAGGTCATATTTTACAGGAATCATTTTTCTTCTTGCTTCAGAATAGTTGTCAACTTCCCCAAGAAGGCCTAATCCTACAGCAACTTTGCTTAAAAGGTCTATAGGAATTTCATAATCCTCTGGAAAGAGTGAGCATAACAAGAGGAGTTTTTGGGCATTATCTCCAAGATTATCATAGCTTAACTTCAAATTTCTATAAACCTTTACTAAGTCTTGATGAACATGTTGTAATGGCCCAGAGTTTTGCAAGGTTTTCAAAGCAATATTCTTCAAATCTTGTAAATGCCAACTTTTTAATGTCTTTGCTACTGCCACAATTACAAGTGGTAGTCCCCCACACTCCTTCACAATGTCTCGTGCTACATCTAATTTACTAGAACAAGCATCACTTCTTAATCCAGCATATTCCACAAAAAGATTGAATGCATCATTTTCATTCAATGTTTGAAGTACAATTGTTGGTTCGCATCCCATTTCATCACAAACTTTGATATCACGTGTGGTTATCAAACCACAACAATTCTTGTGATTGTGGCCTAAAGGAATCCCCATGCCTACAAGATCCAGCTCTCCCCAAACATCATCTAATATTATAAGTATCTTCCCTTGATTCTCATCAATTTTAGACCATAGCTCCCTGGAGTGATTTTCTTCCTTTCCTTCCTCTAATTGCAAATCTAATTGCATTGTAATGTTTTTTTGAATCTTTTTGATATCTGGGGGATTAGACACAATTGTGAATATGACTTTTTGAAATGCTTTGAATTCCTTAACTTGTTTCCTGCTTGTACTGCAAGTGTGGTTTTACCTGTGCACGCTAAGCCTTGTAATCCAATCATGTAGTAGTTTCCATTCACTAATACTTCAACAAGTTTTTTTCACTCTGACTTTCTACTTTCAAAATCTATAAAATTTGATGAATTAATGGAGCTGATGCCTGGATGTTCAGTTTGACGTGCCACTTTATCAAAGTAATTACATCTTTCAATAAGATCTGTAGTGTCAATCATCCTCTTTGCTAACATCTTCCCTTGTTGATAACGCCAAATGCAATTAGGACACCAACCATAAAACCATTTCTTCTTAGTTTTTGTGTCTATTTTAATG